CCCGCTGTCCTCGCGCTGATCCTGGGCTCGTTCTTCATCCTGAAGGCGTGGGGTCTTAGGAGGAGTTGAGGCTTTTCGGGCTTTCCTCTTGCCTCCTATGGTTGAAGCTGTGGGGAAACCATGGACCGTGTACCGTGTCCAGGCCCGTGGCTGGCTGCAGCAGCTTGTCAGCGTGAGACAGTTGGGGCAAAAAACGCCGGCAGTGTCCACAATCCACCTGGGCTCACGAAGAGTCTTGAGAGAAGTAACGTGGTGCCCCCCAAGGTTTCGGATTCAGCAGTGGTACTACATGTTCCTTCTCCTGCTCGTGCTCTTCGTCACTTCTGTGGGAACTGCTCTATCAAGCACATTGGACTACCTGGTGAAGAACCCGATAGAGACTCGGTGCAATGCAAATCCGCAGATTTCCAGGAGTAGGTACATTTAATTTGTTTAGGAAGCTGCCTTCTTCAGGTGTCATGCGATTGCCACAGGTGCTTGTGGACACAAGATGTTTCAGGCAGCCCCTAAGAAATCCGAGGAGATTCCGAGCATACTGGCACAGACTTTCCCTACCTGCACACATTTTTACATGAACTACGTGGGCCTGTCCGGGACCTGGTGATGACCTGTGGCAGTCCGAAGCCTCTAACCCATGATGCTTCCCGAGGCAAATCAGCGTGCACACGCTGGCCTTGACGCGCCTGTTCGTGCTGATCAAGTTTATGTTTTACCGGTGCCTTGGAGCTGAAGCAGTCGTTGGAGTGCAGTCGTGCCGGGCCATACTCTTCAGCGCGGTGTGTGTGCAGGCTTTGCCTTGCTGGAAAGGTGACATGCTGAAGCGTAAGCGCCCCCGATAAGTAGTATTATTAGGGGTACCCCTTATAGGGTACCCCTTCTGAACCCTACTTTTGGCTCTCTTAAAAGGGACCTTATTGAGAGGGTCTATATCCCCAAGGGTCCCCCTAATCCTAGCTCCCACCCGATAGGCCCGGATAGCTCGTTCTATCCAACATCGAGTCTGATCTCCGAGTCTTTGTTGAAGATTGTGCAGAAGCCGTCCAACCCTGCACAACCCCCGAAGTCACAAGGACTAGCCTCGCTGCAGTTAGAATCTCTTCGTTGTTGCGGCCCTTTCACCAGGTGCTTCTACGAGGACGGCGATGCCCCCAGGGCCGGTTTGCATGACTTGGGCGGCAGCCTCCGACTCTGCTAGGGCTAGGGTTGGAGCCTTAGGACCTATGGACCTATAGGACTGGCGGCGGAAGCGTTTTGATCAAAGTTCTGGGGGTCTCGGGCGTGGACTGAGTTTTGAGCCGAAGGCCGGAAAGCCTGAGCCCGAAGCGCTACGCAGGATTTGACTGCTCTGCAGCGCGCGGAGCCGGAGGATCAGGCTCCTATGATGTGCATGCATGCATGCATGCATGCATGCATGCAATCAATATCTGAATACTTGCATCTATATCATCTATTCCTAAATGTACATCCACATCTACATCTGTGCCTGTATCTGAATGCATGCACGTAGCCTGGGTGCCAGGAGTACCACGGCATGGGTTCCCGCAGTGCGCGTTTGACGCTCTTGTACGTGCTCGCCCTGGTCTTTAGCAGCTCGTCGCATGTGGACTTTTGGGTCTGTTTCGGAGCTTGATCGAACGATGTGGAGTGTCCTAGCTAGGCACCGGGAGATTCATGATGCATGGCTACTGGATGACCCGGCTGGCAGCTGCAGCAGCCTCAACCCTTTCCACAAGAAAGTGAGGCACTCTCTGCCCGCTGATCACTTTGTTGGGGGCGGTCTCCTTCGGAGTGGCGCGCGTGGTCTACACGTACCTGTGCCTTGGCATGGAGAGAGGGCCCAGCCAGCCCCCTGCAGCCGAGGGTGCTTTTGTTTCTGAGGTTCGTTTACGCAGAGACCCTGAAGCCGGACCTGGGAGGTCTTTTCTGGTAGCGGCCCGAGCATCGCTTCCAGTCTACGGACGCTCTGTTCCGGTAGCATCGGATGGGTCTCCTGTCAGACTGCCTCCGATTCGAGGCAGCGGCAACTGAATCATGCTCAGCAGGGCACCTTCCTGCAGCTGGGACTATTGGAAGCGGCATAGCCAATCTCTGCAGCCCCTTGCTGTGAGGTACATCGCGCTGATGACAGCTGTGCTTTTGCAAAGGGCTCCGACCCCATGGCCGGGCATGATCTGCGCCTCCAGCGCTCCTTTGACAGTGATTGGTGGGTCTCCGATTCTCCAGCCCGGCTTAGCCTCTCGAGGCCCGGTGCTGCGCAGGAGATCCTGGATTTGCTTTTAAGGGATGCTCCCTCCGTCTACCCATAGGCCCTAAAGTAGTTCCTTTTGGGGTTACCTTATAGGATTCTATATATGAACCCCCAAAAGGAACTACTCTAGGGCCTATGGGTAGAGCAAGCCTAGTTTGGCATGAAGCTGTCGGGTCACAGAGGCTTCAGACCTGAGTGAACGAGAGCAACCCTTGATATCCAGATGGGCAGTTCTCTAAATTAGAGTCCCTTTTGAGATCCCCATAGTACCCGAATTTAGAGAACCCAGATAAGCTATGATCATCGCCGAGGCAGTCTTCATGGGCTTCTCCTATTACACATTCCTCAACAGGCGGGCGCAGCTTTGAGATCTGAGCTTCCCTGCCTGCCAGCTTGGACTGCCTTCTTTGCATTTCCAAATGCTTTTGCAGGCAAATCCAAGCACCAACCATGAGAGTCCATGGAGCGCGAGTTTATTCAAGTTTGCTTTCTTAGCCGGGTGCTGTTCAATTATTCATATCTGTCCTTTGCGCTAAGCCGCTAAGCTCTCCAGCCAACAAGCTGTGAGTCTGGGAGGTTTCGATGGGAGCAGCTCCAGTTCAGCGAGGTGCCTTCTAAGGGTGCCATGGGCAGCTCGGCCGCCATGGTTTTGGCTGGCAGTTGTTTGAGGGCCCGGCCATTAAGTAAGGTTCAGGATTTGGGGCTTCACTGTGGGCTTCATTCAGGTTTTTAGGTTTCTGTTGAGAGTCAGTTCGTCCGGAGTCCCGAATTCTCTCAAGGTTTTGGGCCCGCAGCGGAAATGAAGCCAGCGGGGTTCTGCTTTTCGTGCTGCCTCTGCCTCTAACTGCGATACACAGCACCCTGCGCAAGATCCGCCCTAGCAAGGCAGACCTGAAGCAGGAATTGGATTCTATCGCTTCAGTTCAAGCATTTCGCCGCTTTCGGCTGCGACGGGCGATGTGTCAACGGCTTCGGACAAACGCTCAGGGCCCTTTGCATCTTCGTCCATCAAGATGCCCCCGGCTGCTTAGAATAGTACAAGGGTCGGAATACTCTTATATTATACTGTGCCCCCCAAACCCTCATAGTTTATGTGCGGTCGATTTTTGAAGCCTCCGGCGACCAGGCGGTCCTCCGGCCACATATGGCCACTACAAGCAGCGGCCTGTCTTCAAAGAGACCTCGGACTTTTTTGGGCTCGGGATCCGCTTAAAAAGAGTCAGGTCCTCATCGATTAGAACCCCTGAAGGATGGTACTCGGAAGTTTAAGAATCCCCGATGTTTCGGAGTCGATGAAACCTGAGCAAGCCCGGTAAGACTTGCATGGCAACATGTCGCCCTCCTCATGTTAGAGCAGCAGCGGCTTGCACAACGAGCCCAACGAACATGTACAGAGTTGTTGATTTTGCAACCGCAGCACGAAGTTTTGCAACATGCCGTGCCTTTGGAAAGGGGGTGTGAGGCTACACGGCGCTCCACAAGCCTTCACCCCGTGCCCGAAGCCTTGAATGCGATCATCATCCCAGGTCCTAAACTCGGCTAGGTTCGTGAGTAGTACCCTTTTCCCCTTCTGATTCCATGGCTCCCTTACAAAACCCTGAATAACAGGAAACAGGATACCCTTATTATTGAACCTAATCGGCCATACTGAGAACCCCGAGCTTCGAAAGGCCACAGCTGCCCCCACCGCCTCCGCCAGCGCCGCCACTCGAAAAGAAGGTCGTCCTCCTCCTCTTGCTCCTCCTCCTCCTCCTCCCTCTCCGCCTCCTCCTCCTCCTTCTCCTCCTCCTCTCCTCCTCATCATCATCATCGTCATCATCATCATCATCATCACCATCACCATCACCATGGTCATCATCATCATCAGCACCACCAGCACCACCATCATCATCATCATCATCATCATCACCATCATCACCATCATCACCATCATCATCACATATCATCACCACCACCACCACCACCACCACCACCACCACCACCACTCATCCAATGTTGCCACGCTCGCGCACTTAGTCTGGTTGTGCCATTCCTACTTTCGCTTGCTGCGACAGTTGTTGCTGTCACTGTTGCTCGTGGTGTTTCGAGGGTCGTTTATCTCGGATACTGTGACGATGGTGATGGTGGCGGTGCAACCATCTGGCTTTAGCGTGGTAATTTTTGAGCACTCGCTGTGTTTCTATTCTTGTTCTCAGCTTTTTCGTCTCACCTGCTTTTTGGATTGCTTTTACGAGTCTGGTTGGTGTCGGCGCATAGTTTTGCATTCGGCTCCCAAGGAAAAATGACCTCCTCACCCGTGCAGTCACCTCCATGCGCCAGCGTTTGGACCCGTGTGGGTTTGGCGGCTATGACGACGAGGACTCAACACATGTCAGCAGGGGCAGCTCATGCCTGGGGCCTAGCACTTCGTAGATCTTCGGATCTCTTGGACCTCGCAGGATGTCCGCGATGCTCGACAGTTCCGCCGTAGCAAGACCGCCGCGGAGGGAAGAGCTTCGGCTGCCGCGCAGATGGAGTACACGCGTACAAGAACGACGACGGAGTAGGTCTACCTCATCGGCGAGCTCTCATGTCAGCATCGTCTGACGGGCCTTCCTTTGAATGAAGATAGTCACTCAGCGCCGACACTGTCGATGGAGTAGCAGCCATTCGACACAGTTCCTTGTTTCTGACAGCGGCCAAAAAGCCTGCGGGGCCAGTGCCTGCAGCTTTGTGACTGTGGCTCCCGGCGTTGGACGATTAAGCTCGTCAGGCCGTGCTTCGAAGATGAATGCAGAGGTGTGGGCTCTTCTTGACCTGATTCGACCCAGTCCTGAGAATCGCCGCCTGTGGACAGGGTTGTCACGTGCTGACGCATGTCATTGACCATCCATGGTCGGCCTGGTGGCCAAACCTCCATGTCCCTCTGAGTGAGGGAGGATAGGAAAGGAGACGAGCCTAGAGACCCGCTTGCTGCCGAAACTAAACCCAAGAGGCAATGCCTTTTCTGCCGGAAAGAGGTTGATTCGGGTAAATCAACACGGCAGATCCATATTTCAGCACAACTTGGCTGCATGAATGGTTTCGGTGATCGCAACGTGCCAACGTTGCTGAGCGGACTTTGGGCTTTCAGTTCTCATCAGGGCATATTGAACACAGTGACGTGCCGGTTATGTTGGCGGTCGGGTCGCAGATCATGCGACATGGGTTTACAAGGCTTCCTTCAGAGTCACATGGCCGAAAGATCGCTCGGATCTAGCCGCTCTAGCTGAGTTCGACTGCCAGGCCAAGGAGTCCAAGGAGTTCGCACAGCCGCGGGTTTGGAAGGCCAGAAGACGCTTTTGCTTTAAAGAGCAGCGGACTGCATCGTCAGTGACTTCCCACCGCAACTTGGTCTTTGTGGGAGTTTTACGCACTTCCTGATCCCGCTCCTTTAAGGCCCTCGTTCTTCTGGACCTCCTTCCGTCTCCACTGTCTTGGAACCCTCCATCTTTTCACCGCCGCTGGCCCATCTCCTTGAGTGCGGCAGGCACGAAAGCCAAAGACTGAAGCGACGTCGCAGGGCACTTGATGTGCAAATTGCTGTAACCCGCTGTTCTCGTCATTCACGTTTTGTCGAGATGTCGTGTGCGTTCGGGAGTCAGAGACGATGCTGCAGACTGCAGACTTGCGCGATCGTACCGTTTAGCCCTAAACCCCTCCTTCAAGCCGACCCTTTCGCTTTCGCTTTTCAGTGCATGTCTGGCCTGCTCCGTGCCCGCTTGGCTCATCGAGTGCCCTTCGGGGCCCGCTCGGGCCGCGGCCCTCGAGCAATGCTCGAGGCTCAGCGCAGGGTGGGAAATGCGGCTGCTGTATGAACCGCTTCCTCCAAAGGGATGTACAGAGCTCTCTAGTCCGCCCCGGGTGCGACGCTGCTGAGGCTCTGACCCAAGTAGTTCGAGGCAAGACGCATCCCTGGGGTCCGTCAGGATGGATTAGGGGATCTACCCGAAGCATCAGGGGAAACAGCTCTAAAATAGGAGAACCCCTGGCCCATTCCAAGCGCCTGGAGTCTTCAGCCTGAAGTTCGCACAGAGAAAAGCGAGAGCAGTGGATCCTCTTTGCCCCGGGTGTAATTCTCTCAAAGTTTAGAGGGGTCATTGAAGCAGGTGAGTCATGCCAGAAACAATAGATGCTGACCCGGTGCTCGCGCGGCCCTTGTGGGCCCTTCTGCCTGATGAACATTCCACGAACAGACCTAAACCTCTTCCGACGACCCACTCGCGAGCTTTGTGTGCGTGTGGAGGTTTTTGCCAACTCTGTTGGCTCACTTGCGTGGGCAGCTATGCGGGCGGAGCGCGAGAGAGGCTAAAGCGGGTGATTTCGTGTGTATCACTTCACAGTGACCGAGCTCTCTCGATCTGTTTGCCATGCTGTAAGGGCAGGGGCCTGGCGGAGCACAGCATGTGCCGATTGAAATCTGGCTTGAAAATCAGCATAGTACTCATAGGCCGGTTCTTTTTGGCATTCGTTCTCTTCTTGCTCTCTTCCTGCTCTCTTTCTCTGCCCCTTTCAAGAGCGGAAAGTGGATGGTTCTCTAAAATTGGTCAATTCTCTCCGCTCCTTGGCTTCAAGCACAGGGGTTCGCTGTCTTTTTTGCCTTGCTGTTTGGCTGGCCAATGGCGTGCTCCCGCAACAAGTAGGCTTCACCTGGTGCACTGATCCCGAACGCAAAGAGGAAGTGCTCTCTGAAGAGAGAGCGCTTTCGGTCGACGTTCGATTTCGGTAAACCCGTACTATACATCATTCTTTGCGATGGGTGCTATCTGTCAGATCTGCCAAGATTCACTCTCTTCATCTCCTTCTGCACCGGCCAGTTTACCTTTTCTTTGTCTGTGAAGCTATTTCACCAGCCCAGCCAGCTGCACGCCAGTGTGCCCGCCCCCCTCGGAAGCCGAACCCGAAACCCCTACTGCAACGGTTCCCTAAACCCTCACCGCACACCCGGACCAGCCCTCAAACAGGCGCTCCAGCTCGGCTCAAACGTGCCCAAACGGCGGGCGAGCGGCCCGCAGAAAGGGAGCGGGCTGCCGGAAGCTGAGCTGCCCTCCTTGGGGCAGTGCTGCTCAATCTGTTGTCTGTTCGTAGTCCGTGCCTGTAGTAGAGCAAGTGCTTCCTGGTTCGCCCTCTGTCTGTAGCTGCTTTGAATGTCAGTGTTGTGTGAGGCTCCCGCACGCAGCAAGCAGCTTACGAAGAGGCCCTGGTGTGTTTTGGCAAGTTGCTTGTTGCAACACACCACCCCCTCTCCACGCAGACATCTTGACTCAAATGTGGAGCGTGCAGCATCTGCCGAAGCCGCTACACGAACACAGCCTCTACATGGCGGTGCGCAACATCTTGCGCCGCAATGCCGAAAGCCCATGCCGTGATCCCCAAGCCCTGGCCCATAAAGACTTTCCACTACTGCCACCAGCACTGCTGCCAGAACTACCACCAAATACTGACTACTGCCACTGCTGCTATTACCAGCTGCCACTAAGGGCACTACTACCACCACCACCACTACTACCAGTACTACCACTACTATCACTACTTCCACTTACTGCCACTGCCACTACTGCCACTACTACTACTGCTGCTACTACTACTACTACTACTACTACGACTAACTACTAACTACTAGCTACTTACTACTTACTACTTACTACTTACTACTACTACTGCTGCTTACCATCACTGCTACGGGCGGGGCTTTTTTCACACCCTGAAAAGGCTCCTCACGCTCACTTTCCCGTTGGGGGTCTTTTTCGCGCCATGTTTAGATCCTCAGGCTTTGGGGGTCTAGAGTCTAGGGCAGAAGGAACAAAAGAATCTTTAAGAAGGGGGGAAAACATACGTAACCGGCCGTACAAGGCCTTTGTCTCGCCCTGGGTTTGGGGGTCTAAGGCCGAAGGAACAAAATAGCGAAGAGACATATGACAAAGAGACGGAGAGACAGAAAGACAGAGACACAGAAGTAGTGGGAAAGAATGAGGGTGACAGAGGGAAAGACAGAGAGAGAGAGAGAGAGAGAGAGAGAGGGAGAGAGAGAGGGAGAGAGAAAACGGGAAGCAATCCTCTTGCCCTCAACCCTGGCGAAAGAAAGAGAAAACGGGAGATGGAGGGAAACCAAGAGGGACGGGGGAAATCCGAGGTGAGAGAAAGAAGACATAGAGGAAGAGAGAAAGAGAAGCAGAGCGACAGACAGACAGAGTGACGGAGAGAAAGAGAGACAGGGAGAGAGGAATAACAGGAAGACGGCAGGGAAGCGGAGAAGAAAGGAGGGAAAGGGCAGGGTAAAGGAAGCGAGACAAAGGAACCAAGGGCAGCGGAAAGGACTGGAAGGGCAAGGGAGGGAAGGGAAAGGAAAGGAGAGTCAATAGAGGGACGGGGAGAGGAGACGCGGAAAGGAAGGAAACGGAGAAGGACGAGAACTACAGATTTTGTGAACAAGGAGCAAACCGCTTGAAAAAGACTAGAAAAGTTGAGGCACAAGAAGCAAACCGCTCGAAGGAGATTAGAGCGAATTAGAGCAGACCGCCCTCAAAAGACGAGGAAATCGCAGCAAAAGAAGCAAAGCGTTGAAAAGAGAAGCGAACCGCTCGAAAGAGACTAGAGAGTTTGAAAGCAAGGAGCACACCACTCAAAAAGGACTAGGGACTTTGACTTGAGAACAAGGAGCAAACCGCTCGAAAGAAACTAGAGATCTTGAGAACTGGGAGAAAACCGTTCGAAAGAAACTAGAGGGTTTGAGAAATAAGAGCAAACCGCTCGAAAGACACTAGAGAGTTTGAAAGCAAACAGCAAACTAAACACAAGCAACTACAGAATTTAAGACAAAAGGAGCAAACCGATAGAAACACCCTCGACAACTTACGGGGACCAAACTGCTCGATAGAGACTGGGGAACTTGAGAACAACAACCGCTTGAAAGATGCTAGAAATTTTGAGACAAAGGGCAAACCGTTCGAGAAACTAGAGAACCTGAAAAAATTAGCAAACCGCTAACCGTTCGAAAAGACTGGCGCAAGGAGCAAAGCGCCCCAAAGGGACCGGAGACTATGCGAACAACGAGCAAACCAATCGAAACAGACTAGAAAGTTTGAGAGCAAGGAGCAAAATGCTCCAAAGGAAATTAGAAATTTCGAAAACAAGGAGCAAACCGTTCGAAAGAGACTAGAGATGCTGAGACAAAGAAGCACGAAAAGGACGGAAAAAGGACCACACCGCTTGGAAGAGACTAGAGATATTGAAGCAAAGATGAAAACCGCTCGGAAGCGGCTAGGGAATTTGAGAACCAGGAGCAACCGCGGAAGAGACCAGAGAGTTTGAGAACAAAGCCGCTCGAACGGCACTAGAGAATTTGAGAACAAGGAGCAAACGGCTCGAAAGAGATGGAACACGGGAGCAAGGCTCTCGAAGGAGACTAGAGAATTTGAGAACAAGGAGCAAACCGCTCGAGAGAGACTAGAAAATTTAAGAACAAGGAGCAAATCGCTCGAAAGATACTATATAGAAAATTTTGAGACAAAGGAGCAAACCGCTCGAAAAAGATTAAGGAGTTTGAGAACAAGGAGCAAACCGCGCGAAGAGCTTCAGAGAACTCGAGAAAAAGGAGCAAACCGCTCGAGAGGGACCGGAGAATTTGAGAACAAGGAGCAAACCGCTCGAAAGGGACTAGGGAGAGTACTAGGGAGTAAGAGGAACAGGAGCAAATCGCTCGAAGGAGACCCGAGAATTTGAGATCAAGGAGCAAAGCGCTCGAAAGAGACAGAAATTGAAACAAAGCGCGAAAGCGTCTAGAGTACTTGAGAATAAGGAGCAAACCAAGCGTAAGAGATTGGCGAAACAGACCAGGGAATTTGCGAAAAAATAGCAAATCGCTCGGGACATTCTGGGATTTGAAAACAAAGAGCAAACCGCTCGAAAGGGACTAGAAAATTTGAGAACACGGAAGCAACCCGCTCGAAAGACACGGCAGATTTTGCGAGCAACGAGCTAACCGTTCGAAAAGGGCCATAGAATCTGACAAGAGGGAACAAACCGCTCGAAAAAGACTAGAAGCTTTGAGAAGAATGAGCAAACTTCTCCAAAGAGACTACGGAACTCAAGCACAAGGAGCAAGCTGTTCGCAAAAGACTCGAGACTTTGAAAAGACGGACAAACCGCTACTACGGAATTTCAGAACAAAGAGCAAACCAAGCGACGGAGATTTGGAATTTGAGAAAACAAGCAAGCCGCACAAACAAGACTTGACAACTTAAGAACACAAGGCGCAAACCGCTCGAAACAGATTAGAAACTTTGAGCAAAAGGAGCAAACCGTTCGAAGAAGATTAGAGAGTTCGGGAACACAAGCACCAAGCCGCCTGCATGAGACGAGAGACTTTGAAAAGAAGGAGCAAGCCGTTCGAAAGAGACTAGGGAAGAACAGGAGCCAACCTTTCGCAAACGACTTGGGAAGTTCTGAACACAGAGCACCCGGTCGAACGAGACTAGAGTTCATTTCAGAAAAGGAGCACTGAGAAAAAAAGGAAGCCG